GTTATCTGTGTGTGTGTGTTTGTGTGTGTAACCCCCCTTTGGTGCCTCTCGTACCAGGCTCGGCCTTGTCTCAGGCCACCTGGAATTTAGGCCCTGTGATATGTGCATGTGTGATCCTACAGCATATACTGCTCATTTTTCATCTCATTACTGTACAGACTTCAGGTGATTTTGTCACTCTCAGCACCTCAGGTTTTAAAATACAGTGCCTTGCAAAAGTATTCACCCCCCTTGGCATTTTTCATGTTTTGTTGCCTCACAACCTGGAATTAAAATGTTTCTTAATCTTATTTTATGTGATGGATCTGCACAAAATAATCTAAGTTGGTGAAGTGAAATGGGAAAAAAAAATATATAAAAAAGAATAAAAAAATAAATAAAAAAAACTGAAAATTAGCGTGTGCATATGTATTCACCCCCTTTGCCATGAAGCCCCGAAAAAGTCCTGGTGCAACCAATTACCTTCAAAAGTCACATAATTAGTGAAATGAAGTCCACCTGTGTGCAATCTAAGTGTCACATGATCTATCAGTATAAGCACACCTTTTCTGAAAGGCCACAGAGGCTGCAACAGCACTAAGCAAAAGGCATCACACCATGAAGACCAAGGAGCTCCCCAAACAAGTCAGGGACAAAGTTATTGAGAAGTACAAGTCAGGGTTGGGTTATAAAAAAATATACAAATCTTTGATGATATGACAGGACCGAGGAAACATACTCTAACGCAGACTTAAATACACAAGAATGATGAAAGCAACTCAAAACAGCTCCCTAAGGGGAGCGAAGAACGAGACCGGGGACACAATGAAACCCATAGAAACAAAAGCGAGAACGTCAACGGGACACAAGGAACAGCAACTGCACAAAGGACAAACAAGACAAAAACCCAGACAGCAACAGAACAAACACAGACACGAAGAGGGACATGAAGGATAGGAACAATGGAGGGACAACAGCAGGGGGCACACCGACAAACGGAGGGAAGAAGAGACCAGGGGGGAAGAAAGGTGAGACAGGGGGCACAAAACCAGGACGGGGGGAAACAGGGAGCTGTAGGGATCCCCAGTGGGCAAAAGGTAGGAGCCACAGGGGCAGCAGGCGACCGCTGGGATGGAGCCAAAGGGACCCTCATCGACCGCGAGGCAGGAGCCGAAGGGACCACTGAAGGGGGCGAGGAGGAAGGCCAAGGGACTGACAGAGGAGGCGAGGAGAGAGGTGAAGGGGATACCGGCAGAGGGGAGGAGGGAACAGAAGCCGAAGCAGGCAAAGGCACCACCACAGCCGGCGAAGACGCAGGCAGCTGAGGTCCTGGCCGAGATCTGCCATGCTGGGGTGGTGGCTGGGATGACCCACTGGAGGGGTTCAGTGGGGCAATTAGGGAAATCCCTGAGGGGTCCCACTCGAGCTCCTCCTCGAGGGAAGGAGCGGTGGTCCGATAGTCCAGGACCTCCTCAGGGACAGGGACTAGGGTCACGGGAACTGGGGGCACGGCAGCAGGATTCGGGGGATCAGGGACCTCCTTTGGGATGGGAACCACAGGAGCGGGAAGTGGAATAAGGACAGGGACCACAAGCGCTGGAGCAGGAACCTCAGGAGCAGGAACTACATAGTCAATGACGGGGGTTTGCACCTCAGATGCAGGTGCCGCCTTGGAAGAGGCGGCGTCTCCGGCTGAGGAGGCTTGTATACTTATATTATATACTTATGTCTATATGATTTCTCAGTTTTTTTATTTTTAATAAATTTGCAAAAATCTCAAACTTTTTTCACCTTGTCATTATCTGTGTACTATTTTGAGGGGAAAAAATTAATTTCATCCATTTTGGAATAAGGCTGTAACATAAAATGTGGAAAAAGTGATGTGCTGTGAATACTTTCTGGATGCACTGAATTCCTCCTCCATGAGGTGAGGTGTCTTGGTTTGGAGTCCTGTCATTCTGTCATGACATAGACCGGGCGGGGCATGAACTGGGGAAGCAGGAACAGGAGCCAGGGAGTCGGGTGCACACAGGATTTAATATGGGTAAAGCACTCAGGAACATATAAATACAACACAACGTCAATGACAGGACTGGGGAAACATACTCTAACGCAGACTTAAATACACAGGAATAATAAAAACAACTCAAAACAGCTGATGGCATGGGGATTCCACACAAGGTTAACAAGGGGGCGTGGCACACAGGAGGAGTGGACGAACGGGGCATGACAGGCGGTCCTTAGCTTGCTGGGTAAGACATGGACCTGTAACTTGAAGTTTTCCAGCCCAGGTCCTGGGAGAAGCTCGGCCTGTTTACTTTAGACAGGTGCTTAACCTGAAGTGCTCCAATGCCCAGCTGTCTGAAAGGGGATGGATTGAAATAGCTAAGAAATTAGAACTATTTAAAATTATGGCTGCATGTGTCACGATCCAGGGCGGAAGCAGGCGAAGGGAATCCAAGATTCGGGGAACACCGGGTTTAATAGTACACAAGGCAGGCAACAAAACAGAATGACAATACAATGACGGATCTGGGGAAGACTGACTGAGACTCGGACTAAATACAAAAGACGAAGGCGCTGTCCGACGCCCCGCCGAAGCAGGGGAGCCTGGAGGCGACCGACATGGAGCCGCAGGCAACGCCGAGGACCAGCACCGAGGCACCGGGAGGGGACCCGAAGCCGACCCCGAGCCGGAGGACCCGCAGGCAGCCACCGAGCCACAGCCAGGGGCCGAACGGGCAAGCCAGGGGGCAGGGCGGGCGCCCGATGCCTATGTCCCCGTCCCTTACGGGATACGGAAAGGCGGGGTCCTGGGGAGTGTCGGCCTTGTCGGGGCAAGGGCAAGGGAGTCATGAGGGAGGTCCCCGAGGGTGGAGGTTCGGGCAGAACAGGGGGCGTGGCCACAGGCGGTGCAGCCGTGGCCGCGGGCTGGATGGGAGAGCCGGGCTGGACTGGAGAGGCAGGCAGATCAGGTGCCGGCAGGACAGGCGAGACAGGCAGATCAGGTGCCGGCAGGAGAGGCAAGACAGGCAGATCAGGAGGGGGCGCCTCGGCAGGCGCTTCGGGCATGCGGCCAGCAGGGGGCGCCTCGGCAGGCACCG